GCAGGAGCAATTAGGATATCAGGATTTTTAAGGGAGCTTATTATTAATTATTGTTCTATTTATATAGCATTAGAGATGTTTTGTGCTTTGCAAAGGCACACAAGAATTCTGTTTATAGTATCAGGATGCCCAGAAGAGTGAGGAAGTCTTCATTGAATAATTCCACCACAAACAGAGGAGACAAATAACAGAGAGGTGTCAGTGAGGTGGTCCTGTTGCCACCTTCATTTTACAACTGTTCTGCTTGCCTTGGAGTTGGGTACTACACTGTGAACACTGCATATGCTTCTAGTAAGTGAAGTTTTGCAGTTTAGGGTACTGATTAAAGAGTAGGATGATTTCCTCTGGAAAGTAAAATGTTTTACACTCTTTTCCCTCCTTTTTTATTGCTGCATTGTGGATGACAGCATTGCTAACAGTGGTGAGCTTTCAGCCTGTGTGACTGCACATCACGGGAGTTAATTGTCACGTTTTGTCTCCAGAGAAATATTAAACCTGATTGTGCAGAGCTATAAACGTGCGTGACTGCAGGGAGTTTTCTTGGTGCTGGCATGAGCCTGGGTACCTGGGGGTGGGCAAAGTGAATCTGCCCATCCTGTGCAACGAGTTAAGCATAACTGCAGCTGACATCGTGCGCAAGTGAAATCCAGTGATATTTCCTTCCACCAGACCTAAGCTCCTCTTTGTCTTGTTGGGTTTTGAGTCAACATGATTCTGGCAAAGCTTGTTTGTGACGCTCAGTGAAGCTCGTTGTGGAGTACCCCAAATGTTGGGGGTTGGCCCCCCTATGGCAGGAGAAGCAGGACAGCTGTGGCTGTGCCGTGTCCCCGCGACCTCCTGAGCCGTGGTGGGGAGCCTGGGGTGTGAGCTCGGGTTTGATACTACACTGCCTTAGCAAGGGGAGAGAAACCATGTTAATATCTTGTATATATTGATGTCTTGTATGTTGTGAAGGGTAATTTAATTGTGAGTTGGGTGCAGGAATTTCATTTTCCAGAGGCTGATGAATAGCAGTTTTTGGAGGTTATCAGTTAATCTGTTGTAATGAATGTTCTTCATTACATGCCTTCCCTTGTTAATTAGAAAGGATTTTTACTCCTGTTTATCAAGTCAGGGCAAGTATATTACCTTTTCCTCCGTACTGCTTATGATGAAGTGCATATCCAGATTGTTTTGTGGAGTGTCCACATGAATATTTCATCACATGTGCATCCCTACCTTCATACACTCTGTTTTCAGAGCTCCAACCTCGGATAATTATTCAATACATTTCAAAAATCCAAAATATAGATTGTTTAATCTCTTTTTATTTATACTTATCATTAGAAATTCCTCTTTCCTGTGTAATAATGTGTTTATGGCATTAATTACCATGCCAATTTAGACCAAGGCAATTAATCACTGCTACACAGTACAGAAACAATAGATTTGGAATTAGGTTCTCCAAGTACAGAGGTGAAGCTTGTACCTTCCATGAATGAGAGATGGGAATCTGTACCCTGGTTGGGTCCTTTACCTGAGTTTATTTAAAAAACAAAGCCAAGACAAAACACAAACAAAAACCTCACCTATTTCTGTTTCTTTCCCACAGGTTGAAGCAATACTTGTAAACATATTTGGTGGGATTGTGAACTGTGCCATCATAGCCAATGGTATTACCAAAGCCTGCCGAGAGCTTGAGCTGAAAGTGCCACTGGTGGTCAGACTGGAAGGTGAGTGCTGATGGTTTCAGACCAAAATCATCCCTCAGGTGCACCACAATCCACAGTGGCTTTCTTCAGTCTCTAGACTCTAAACAGATTAGCCCCACACAATAAGAATATGTCCAATTCTTCATTCATAGCATGACTTTGGAGTCGATAAACTCTTTCCTTATATATTTTGGTGTTTCTGGTCCCTCGTGGTGCTTGAAGCAATGAAAATTTGCAATGAAAACATTATGGTTTAGCTTATAAGATTTGCAATGCAAATAGAAATTATTTTGATGCAAGTTTCTGTTTACTGGAAGGTATTTCTTTTTCAAATGATTTTTTTAGTGAATGCAATTGTATTATTGCTGAACCCGTAGCAACGTAGTTTTCTTAAATTGACTCCAACAACATAATTAAAAGAAAGGTGTTAGAAACAGTATTTGTGAGAGAGAGATCACTGTAACATGTTCTTCTGCTCAAATACCCAAATCCAGTTAAAATCCATTAAAAAACAGATTGGGTAAGGAGTTGGTTTCTTTTGAGTACATCCAGCATTGTTAAACTAGAAACAAAAAAGTAATAGAGAGGTGGGGCAGTTACTGGCCTTAATATAATGACAGTGGCTATGGAGTTCTGTCACTTCTGAGAAGCACCCTGCAGGAGGAGGGGAGATTCTTCTACCAGGGAATGAAAAAGTGCTTGGGTAGACTTTTGCTGTGGAAGTGCAGGAAAATTTAAATACTCTGAAAAGGATTTTAGAGATGAGTTGTGAAAATTTTCTTTGGATGACACAGCACCACTAAACATCTGAAGAAAATAAGTAGATAGTTTAATATGGATGAAGGAGACACTGATGGATGTTGGTTGGAAGCAGGAAAGTTTCATAATATAAAATCTCATTGTTTATCAGCTCTAGGCAATGTTGTTTAGCTTTTTGTCATAGAAAAAACTTTTCCTGTCTGTCATAGCTGGGAAAAAGTTGATCTGTCATATCTGCAAGACTTCTCCACTATTGAAGCTGCTTTTTAAGTAAAGATACTGGAAAAGCCATTGGTTTTCCTTATGAACAAGATAGTTGCAAGTTGTTTCTATTGCAAGATTTGAAACCAGTATAAGAGAAACAAGAAAATCAACTTGCTTATTTTAAACTGCAATCTGCTAGGTCTGCCACTGGGTTTTCTTGACCTTTCTCCAATACCTTTGATACTTCCACGATTGTACACAAGTAAGGGTGAATTTGTTTTTTAATGTGACTTCTGGTAGACTGCAAGAGGCAAAGCAGTCCCTGAGCTGAACGATGGGAGTCCCAGTGCTGCTGTACTGTGGAGTTTGTCTGGGAGGGAAGCTGTGGAGCAGGAGTGCTTCTGCCTGGGGGCTGCAGAAAGCCCTGCAGAGGTGACTGCCTGGTGCCTGCTCCTCTTGTGGCCACGACCTTTATGAGTTGTGTGCTCCTTCATCCACAGAGATTGGCACTCAGTACTCAGAGTGTCAAACACAGATTTTAATGCAAACCTCTTTTGTTGACCATCTTCCCATGGCTGCTCATCCTTCATTGGGTTTATAATAGTTTCTCCTAGACTAGTTGCTGACTGTGGAGGTGGCGATACCATGTTTTCTTTAGGAGGCTGTCTCAGAATTATATAGCAGACTCCCACTTTTGCATAATATTTATCTCAAAAGTATTTTAGTTCCTTCTGTCATTTCTCGTGTTGCCCATCAGTTCATCCTAAACAAAGAGATAAGAAACCTGATCAAGTTGAAGATGTCCCTACTCACTGCAGGGGGCTGGACTAGATGACCTTTAAAGGGATCTTCCCACCCAAGCCATTCTGTGATTCTGTGTTTACAGTCTTCACATGCTGTACTTAGAAACTGTTAACTCTGGCTTTCTTTGCCTCCTCTAGTCATCCAACCAAGCAATATATATACATAGAGGGTTTTTTTAATCCTTCCCCAGCAATCAGCCCCTCTGGATCCTTAATCATCTTCATTGTTCTTCTTTGAACTCACACCAGTTATCTAAACATCTAAGGATTTTGAATTAATAATGAGTGCTGTGGAAGTAGTCGGTCTACCCAAGACTTTTTAAAACATCACCAATAACATTTTACCCCTCAAAAGGAGAAGAGGGACAAGTACTTTTTTGGATTTCCATTTTGAGCATTTCTTCAACAGAACGTTCATGATTATTCCCATAAATCTTAACAGATTTGTGACCTGCACTTTAAAGAGTCTTTGCCCACATGCACTGTATTACAAATGTCTTGATGACTAAAGTTTTAATCAGTCAAATCTGTCTTGATTTAGCAGGATTCTGTGGACAAATCTTTGTTCTCAGTTGTATAATAATTACAAGCTGTTTTACCAGTGGATAAAGAAAGGATTACTCTCCTCTTTGAAAATGGTAACTTTATAATTACATGTATTTACTTGCCTTATCAGTTAAGAACTCACCAGCTGAGACACAGGATTATTGTTGTTTAAAAGGCTCATGGGTGAATGGAGAAACCACGTATTCCAAATTTTATCTTATACAGATGTAGAAAACTAACTTCTGGTTTTATGCACGTTTTTTCCCCGTTTAAAAAGTAATGAACTTCAGCTGAGTTTTGTGAAAACTAACTAGGAGCAGTGAATGGAAGCCAAACCTTATTTCTCATTAATGTAGCTCAGAGTTAGATGAAAAGAGGAAAGAATAAAAAAGAATTCTGAATTAGATGTCTTCTTCCTATGCTGGAAATTTTACATTCTCTTTCTCAGCAAATGAATTCTCTACTTCTCCAATCACAAGACAAGAACTGGGAGGAATTAGAACTACTTAATATGTTGAAACACAGCTAGAAGCAGGTTGGCTTTTATTCAAATGTCTAAATCCAAAATATCCTATTAGATTTTTCAGCCATGTGATTGGTGACCTGCTGTGTTCTCTCAGAATCTAATATTTTTTTTTTAATATATTCAGAAATCTTTTACACACACGTGAAATTTTGCTTCAGCTTGTATATCGTGCTCACAATTATGGTTTAATATGTGTGTCTCTGATTTTTAGTACCCCAAATTGCCTATCAAGAGAGAAGAATGGAACTTAGAACTTTATTCATATCAAGCTCTTCAAACATTCTTGTTTTTTACATACAGTGTGACTTTAAATGTGTCTTTTCCAGTTGGCTGTAAACATGAGGCAGAGGAAAAGCTTAAAATACTCTTTGGGAAAAGTTTCAGATAGAAAAGGGCGAAGGGAGTGGACAGAGTAGAAAGGGTTCAATTGTCTTGTACAATTAGACAGTGAAAGTTGATTTATTGTTGGCTGCAGAGCCAACAACCTCAAAGCAAATGTTGCTGACTCAAGATTAGCTAGTAATGAACTTCAGACTCTGTCCCTTTTTCTCCAAGACCTTTGATCTCTGGGACCTGAGAGGCTGTGAGTTTCTAGCTTGTGGGCTAGCAGAAATGACTTCACCTGGGGGAGAAATTTGGCTCTCAATACACTCATTGGTGTGTTATATCAAACCTGCTATTGATACTGGAACATTCTCACAATGTGTTCACATCAATAATAATTTCCAGCCATACTGCATGTTGTGAAACATTTTGTCATAGTAGAATCTTTGGGATGGGTCAGATGATTTTTTGTTAGTGTTCTACTTGTTAGGACATACCAAATGTATGTAACGGTGACCTGAAAGGCTGGAAGTGGCATTGCAGAACTTGGCATCCTCTCCAGCCATCAGCAGTAAACAAAGGCAGAAATAAAAACTATAGCAACAACAAATGAACAAGAAAAGCCAAACAAGAACCCCTCAGCAGCAACCGTGAGAGCCCTGTAGCTTTCAGTCTGAATTTTCACCTCTGGCTGTGGTGTAGGTGAAGGGCAGTTCTTCTGACAGCCTGTGTATGGGGCTCTGTTTACAGTTCTCTGACACCATCCAGTGGCAGGAGGTTAATGTTAGAATGGTGGCATTATTTGTTTATTTTAACATCTACTGTGAGAAGATAATACCTTTTGTAGATTCTTAAATCTTTCCGGTATCTTCTGAACATTTAATTTCAAAACTTAGCTCTGCATTCTTTAGCAGGATCTGGGTGTGATTTCTGTAGTCTCCATATAGCTAAAACACCACAAGGGGATGAAAAGCTGTCATTAACAAAAGGAAAATTACAGCAAAGGAAAACACTTGCTGAAAATCATGTTTAGTTGTGTGGCCAGCCTATAAAAGTGTTTTATTGAATAAATACAGTATACTCTTACTCTTTTGACTGCAGTGAGAGTTTTTTCAGCTTTCATATTTTCATTTGTCTGCATAACCTCCCCCCTCCCTTCTCAGTGGACTGTGTTCTGTATTGATTTTGTAATGCATGTCAGACAAGTGGTGTGGAGAGCAATCACTGCAGCACAGAATAGATCCAGTGTATTGTTCCCACTCTGACCTGTCAGTAAATTAATATTGGCTCCTTAGTGAAGAACAAAAGTTAGTTTTAAATACATGGCTATCACAGGCAGCATAATATTTTCCTCTGTGGAAAAATTTCTAGGAAAATTTCCCTCTTTCCATATTTTTTTTTTTTTTATTGTCTCCTCTCAGCACTTGTTTCGTAGGATCCTGTTTGAGAGATTGGTACAATCTTGAATATTTAAAATGTTTATCCCTTTTGTATCTAAATAACAAATAAAGCTAAAAAAAAAAGTCTAAATAATAAATAAATTATATACATAAATAAAAGTAAAGTAATTAATAAAATAAAAAAGTGGGAATCCTGACTTGAGCATGATGTTGAAACAGACTTTTGAATTTCTCCACTGCTGTATGTTTTCAGATGTTTTATGAAGTCTGACAAAAAAAAAACAAAACCACCTTTTAAAATGAGTGTTCTGGAGGTTGCACACTAAAGAATACGCTCCTTGCATGGTTAATAATTAAGACTATAATTAGTGTATAGCTCCAAATGTAATTAAAATTCATTTTGCTAGGTCTAGGAATTACAAAGTAATTAAGCATTTTGACGTGGCAAATGAACAAGGAACTTGATGTGAAGGAGGAAGGATAGAAATGATCCTGGAGAAGATCAGCTCAGGGTCTTGTGCATGTCACCAACGTGTGATCCTGAGTGTGGATTCTGCTTGTATCTGACTGATAAACCCCTTCTTCCAAGTTCTGCCATGCTGCAGAGCATATCAGTGATCAAAAACTGTCACGTGGCTTTGCTGGAGAAAGCTCTGGAGAATCCTGATGTTCCTTTTGCCTTTGTTTTCCAAGGAGAATGAGCTGGGGTCAATGGGAAGCTGAAGCACTTGTCTTCTACACAAGTGTGAACAGGGGGAAACGTGCTTTCCCCAAATGTCTTTTTTAATTTGGGATTTTTTTCTTTCACTGTGGATGGAGCCTGTTGGCTGAATTAGAGCTTTTTAAATATTAAAGAGAGTGCTTGTCCTGTACAGCTGTGCAGTCTCCTTGGATGTGGGGTAACTCAGTGCAGCAGCAGAGGGGGGAACGGAGCCGTGCGGAATGCTTCAGAGATCTCTGTGCTCCCCCTTTTTTAGCAGAAACACAAAAAAGCATATTCAAGAGCAGCTCAAGCTGAGTTAGATTTTCAGGATTACTCAATTCTTTGTCTTTCAATAGCCCATTTTGCAGCTTTCAGTTAACAGGGGTGAATTCTAGTTATTGTTGATTCTCTGCTGATTAGCAGTATCTCATAGCTGCTAGTAAATGCGTTAAATCTTCCCAAGTGTCACGTGGCACTAGGGCCATTACCCACTTGCTGGGTGTCCCTTTGGGCACTGGTGGGTGGTGGATTGACTCTGATCTTCACAAAGCCCCTCTTGTGTGTGCAAGAGCTGTTACCAGATTGCATTGTCTGTCAGAATCCTCACTGACATAAAGAGTTCCTCCTTCTCAGCTCGGTCTGAACCACTCACTGCATCTGAGTGGGTTAAACTGAGATGATGTGTGGTTTGAAGCACCAGCTACTTTTATGAAATTTAATAGAAGATGCTCATTTATCCATTAATATTAATTACTAATTTTAGTCAGTGTTCTTTTTCAGGAACAAATGTTCATGAAGCCCAGCGTATCCTGAATGAAAGTGGACTCCCCATCACGTCTGCAAATGACCTTGAGGATGCAGCAAAGAAGGCAGTGGCTAGTGTGGCCAAAAAATAACAACTTGAAGATAATTCTCCTGGAAAGAGCGTGTGTTTCACAAGACATCATTTCTGTTGCTGTTTTGGAGAGGATTAGTGGAGTTTTTCTAAGCAGTCATCAGTGTTGGTGGACTTAATGTGATATGTGGCAAACTCAGGCAGGCTACAGGCTGGCAAGTCAAGCTTCAGAAATTTTTCAGCTACAATCATGAAGGATTCCTATGTCTTCATCTAATTTTGGTAATTTTGTTACTCAGAATTGTAATAAGTAATACATCACTTCGTAAAGCTCTTTTTCTGCTTTCCTTCCAAAACTGTCACTGATAAACACATGCTAAGATACAATAGTTACTGATTTCTATCAACAGGATTGTTCTTTAATCAAATATGTGGTTCACCTATTTCCCAATTTTTTAATTTTTTTTTAAGTATTGTAAAAAGTCAGCAAACGAATAATGGGTTTATATTTTTTACGGACTTTTACAATAATGTAAAAAATTGTGCTTACAATATCTATTTTTGTTCAAATGAATAATGTTTATTTTCTTTTGTAGAAATCACGCGCTTTGCCTTAAGATGATTTTCTCTTGTAGATACCAAAGTATACCTCACAATGGGAAAAGGGACTGGTGAGAGGACCTTCCATTCTTACACTGTGCCTATAAGCTGGCAAAATGTGATTTGTTTTATTTTCTAGTTTTTGGAAATGAGGTGCAGTACTCCTAGGTGTAGCAGTGCCCTACAGGAAGCTCTGTGAGGATGTGTCTGCCAGCAAGAAAATGGCTGCTAACTTTAAAAAATAACCTCTTTCATAAGTATGTCACTGCTGTGAGGCTTTAAAATCAGATGAGAACCTGGAGCAGTTTCCTGTCAGGAGCGTGGAGTTAAATCTCCAAGTGATTTCACTTCCAAAAGCCATTTCTGATTTATTGGGAATAAACCACAAATGAACTTTTCCATTTTTAAAGTACTTGATTTCTCAGGCTTCAATAAAAACATGCACAAGGAACAGAATATATGTTTCAGTACTCAGATATTGATGTGTATTTGTTTTGATTATATATTCTTTGGTAACAGTCAGAATTCAAGCAGTTAATTACACAAATCATTCAGGGAACAGAAGACAATACCAAATGGCTTGTGTAACTAAAGAACTAGACACAAATCTCACCCAGCCCAAGAATTACATGCTGAAAATCATCAATAAATTTGAACAGTGAACAAATGACTGGATATTATGATCTGGTCTTGTAAGTGGGCAGAGAAGTAAAAATTTGTCTAATAAATTCTTAATTGTGATTTTTGAGTGGCTTTAATCGATACCATGTTCTATTTAGAAAAAAGTAAATAAATTTTTCTTGACATTTCCATTAAAACTGTTACATTCAAAATAAATTATCTGGACTAATCTCTGGCTCATGACACGAATAGTTTAGATAGGTTACTATCATCAATTACTGTAGCTTTTTTCTTCCCCATTCCTTTTTCTACATACTGCTCAAGGAAAAAATGTATCACCATTAGAACAGCAATAAATATGCCACTAGATCTCTACTTATTGACTGAATGAAGGAGGAGGGTGTTGTTAGCAGTTCTCATGAAGCTGCTTTGAAGGAAGAAATGTTTACCTCACCACAATAAACAAAAAAGTCACACTCTACTTTATATATTTTAATACTGGAAATAGAAGCATTCTGTGGAAGAACTGTTTATACAGTGTTGTCACACCACTGTGTCTCTGACTTCTGGAAGCCAAACCATTCATCGTGTGTGTACGTGATTATTGTTCTGTGAAGATTAACACTATGTACACCATTGCATCAAATAAATGTGAAAATGCATACATTTAATGCTTTTGTCCTTTTTAGAAACTAGAAAAGTGTTTAATTTGTCTATTATATTCTCTTCTTCCATTCAGCATTTTGTCAGAGGTGGGTGAAATCAAAATGCAAAGGAATTTAGTTTAGGAGTTTAGTTTCAGTGGGGTAATATTGGTTTAATACTCTCAGATCTAAAAATAAAAGTCTTTTTATTTCTTTGTATAAACATCTAAAGTTAGTTTGGGTGCCCCTTGGAGAGGTGGTTTAGTTAGATTTCCTGTGGGTTTCAGCTGTTATAAACTGCAGTGCCTGGAAGGGACGTTTTTGTCTTTGCTCATGCCTGCAGGGTCGTGCCCTGTGGGCGTGGGGCTCACTGTCCTGGGCAGCTCTCTGCCCCACTGCTGACCCCTCTGCTCATTGGGGCTGGGGACAAGCCCTGCTCCAGCCACCCTTCCATAGCTTGAGCTCCAAAGGCACATAGAGGAGAGCTGCCCCTCCCACAGAAAGTGAACAACAGCACCAGCAATGGGTATGTTCCAGTTAATCCCCTCTGTTGAAAATTTTAAGTCAGATTTAGTTAGCCTTTAAATCTTGGCATTTCAGCCTCTATCAATAAAGGACTGGTCGCTCAGAAAGCAAACCAGGAGGAAACTGTTAATGCTGATGTTGTGTTACATCCTTAACAAGTTAGCTTTAAATTCTCACAGCGAATCTAACAGGTGGGAGTTCTGGAGTAATGTCCTTAATGTGCATTTATTATCCTATTTGTCAGGCCTGTTCTTCCCTACGTCCGGAAAAGCAGCTGGTTTCCTGCAAAGCTGCTGTGATTGGGACAGCACATCAGTGCCAGTCAGAGAGCAGATGAGATCCTGAGCAGGACCATCCCTTCCCAGCCAGGAGCAGCACTGGACCCTTGGTGCCCAAGCTGTCCAAGGTGAGCCCTGCCTGGTCACCTTGGGGGTGTTCAGATCTGGGCACCTACAGTAAACTGTGGTTATTGCATGGCAGGTTGGCCCAGAAGAGCTAAGAACTGTACAAGCTGAGTGTACTGAATGTGGCCCAAAACTCAGACCTGAGCAGCCACACTCCCTGAGCTCCCTCCTTACTTATGGTGTAATGGTCAGAACTGGCAGAGTCCACAGCTCTGGGTTCTGCTGGGTTTGCATGGTTGGGCTGGAGCTGGATGTGTGGTGTGAGCATCCAGCTGCCTGCCTGGGACTGGGTGTGCTCTGGTCAGCTCATCTGCCAGCAGGCACCAGTGGCTGGGTTCAGCTGGTGTGTGCCAGCCTAAACGCCATCCTAGAGTCCACTCGATGCCTCTTTCCCACTTGTCCTGGGAGGCTAAGACCTCAACCTCCTGTGTTCTCCACTCACTTCTGTGCAACT